ACAGTAGTTGTTTGTTAAGGAAAACTGAATTCGATCAATTTAGTTTGAGTGGCTAAGCCGAAATGAAATGGTCCGTGCAAAGTTGCGAATGGTTGCCAGGGCATGTAGTACAGGGGTCAACCGTAAAACTATATTTAATTCATTGATAAAGCAACAATGACTTTTTTACACTAGTGAACCCATGTGTGTGTCTCATTACTGTTTGTTCCGCGTCAAATTTTCTTGAAACCTGTCAAATTGTCTCTCAAATCTTTCGCGTGAATTGTTGGGACTTACATTAGAAGCTGTGGTCTACGGGTTATTTTTATTTTTTGAATAAAAATTCTTGATCAGTGGCTTTCTAGGAGTAAGAAAAGGTATTTTAGAATTAGGGATGCGGACAAACATTGTCATTGCGCATCATAACTGAATGTTCACGGCCCACGCAAAGATTCATCTTAAATCAGTCATTATAAAACATGTTATTTTCGGGATAAAGATTTCCACTAGGCGTAGGCCTCAGCGCTGTGGAGATTGAAAAGTTCTGCGGAATAATTATCGTGTGCATCTAGCGAAATAAAGAAACTTGGATCATTTTATCTAGATTTTGAAGGCCCATATCCTGATTAGGCAACTTTCTGCCAGAAAACTGTCATTCATGCCAAATCTCGATAATCTATTTGAAATCATGAAGTTTCATTAGTGGCGCCGAATGATGCTTCCAATGGTAATGACGAAGTATTAAAAATAATCCATGCGAAAATTTGTAATAAAAATATTTCGAGAGAAGAAGACCACCAGAGAAATGGCAGTATGACTCTAACGTAGCCGTTATTTTGTTACAATTCTTTACGTGTTTCCGACACAGCAGTATTTATATGCTCGATAGTTTACACGGAAAAACACGAAAATATCGAATTTTAATTTTGTAATCTACTTTTTTCAGGTGCTAAACAACCACTCCAGGCTGCAATTACATATGCAATTGCAGGTGAGACAAAAACATTCAAAACACTTTAATATTTGTGAGTTAGTTTCGTGTTAGACAGGTTTTGTGGGATATAAGCATCAGTATACGAGTCTTTATTTGAGAATATTTTGGAAATATATAAACTCATAAATTTTTATACCTTTTGTCGAAATACATATACAGGTACCAGTTGTATATGTAGTGTCAGCAAGGGAGAGGCAGTTTGACTGTTTCAGAGTCAAAAGTATATCATAATTCTTCTTTTTCGTTCGAAAGAAAATGTAAGTTTTGTTTATTTCGGTGAATGAAATTTTTCGGCTAACGACTTTGTAGAGTTGTGGACAAATATGCTTTGTCTTGAGAAGTATGAATGAACGTTATCATTAGATATCCTATCTGATTGTCTATAGTCTACGCGATTATCGATTAGAAGTTGTGGAGAAGCTTATATGCTAGACAACTATTTCCACTACAGAAAGCCCTTAGACCTGCCAGCATTGGAAACATCCCGTGAAATAACTATTATCTGCATCGACAAAAATTTAAAAATGGAATTTGATACCCATATTCCAAGTAGGCGTTTTCTCGGCAATGAACAATCACTCACTTCACTTATCAATAATCAGGTGAATATGGTGAGGTTTCACAAATGCTAACCGAAGGTGTTTCTAATAATACAGATGAAGTATCCGAAACCTTTTGCACGAACGCCTGCAGTAATGATGACACAGAAATGACATGATTCTGAAACAGTTATTATTCTGTAAAGGTCTACGGTAAATGACATTTGTGCGAGCGATGGAGTAATCGGGGAAATGTTAATGGCATCGAATTTTAATCTGGAAATTCATTTCTGTTAACTGCAAAGCAACCATCTCAGACTAAAATCCCGCAATTAAGGTTCTCTAAGACCAAGAATTTTAACGTCGAAGTTATTCTTGAATTAAAATTTGTGCTAAACAGATTTATGCAAAACACACGTAACTGCATCCGCGTTTTTCAAATGAGGGCATTTTGACAATATATTAACCCGAAGATGCTGATAATGTTTTAATCAAGGTGGTTAGTGAGTTAGTATTTGTATGTGTAATTTCAGCCGATAGCACAAACCGAGTTTCTGCGGAAAACGGTGCATAGTCAAATCCTGGAGTTCACTTGTGCGCATTAAGATCTTATGAGCAATTGTTAAAAAGTTAGATATAAATTCATTTCAGCTACCAAAGCACCCGCAACTGCTTCAGGACAACCAAAAACCGCTGGTATGTAGAAATAACTAAAATTATTTTGGTCTTACATAACGAAAAGGTCAGTATGTTGGCGCTTAATAAATGCGCAGGTAATTTACAATGTGTTCATGCTAAGCTAGAACCTTTGAAACGCATTACTTCATGGGAATAACTAACGTATTTTTACTGTCTGGTGAAACTTGAAAGACCAAAAGCTTGACTTACTCCAGTTACCCGGGAATCATTCAGGCTTTCTGCCCCAAAGTTCAATAAGACTTGCGCTGGGTCTCTTTTTTGCTAGGAGCACCCACCTACTGTCCTAGATACTTACGTGGACTTTTAGAACTTCGGATAAAAGGCCAAATCTGAATTTGTTTCAGGTACTATGATAAATGGGTCCACTACCGCGCCACCCACAACTACCGGTGAGTAGATATAATGAACTGTATTAGCTGACCGAATGTGGGCAACGTTTTAGTAAAATTCAACCGCAAATTTCTTTCACTTGCCCTTCGACAGACTACTACACCAAATTAAAATCAATTCCAAATTCAATCCAAGTACTTGTAGGGCTGTTGGTTCACCTTGATATACGTGGTTTGCGTATCCGACTGAAGGGCCCCTTCAAATCTGATTAACAAAATATATTTAGGAAGGTCACCTTGGTGAAACATCAGCAGGCGAGAAATTGGTCTTTTTTCTTGTCAGTTTATATCGAGGTTTCTGGTATTTGCATGATGTTGGGTATTCCATAAGTGCAGCCATACGCATATTTATCGACTGATGGCACTGTAGGGGTAAATAAACGTTATTTACTTCAGCTCCCCGAGGATCATCCGGCTCTTCCGCCTCAAATTCTCCAAGCCGTAAGCTAAAAAAACTTTTTGTTTAATCCTAGCACAAGCCCTATAACATGTCGCAATGATTTAAATATCAAGCAAGCTTTTTAGTTCGTAAGCGTATTTTCATTCGTATTAGCGTGTTTTGTGTGTTTTCATAATGCAGACAGTTTAATGTTTTTTGTCTCATTTTAGCAATCAAAATACTTGTCATCTGCGAGGCTGTCTTGCTTTTTGCATTGACTGGTAAACTGTGAAGTCAACTGCGGGTTGTTGAAACTGGAGCCACAGGCAAAGGAACTTGTGGATAAGCCTAGACAGTATTTTTGGTGATGGTAATAAAGTGTGTTTTGGTAGCCTAAATTTTAAAGTATTATCAATGTCTTTGACAAAGTCGACAACTTGTACTTTCGCACAATAAACTACACAGACACTGGGTCCTAACGATAAATAGGAAGGTGTGCACTTAGGATTCACTGATGCAGACAGTGTTTATTGTGCCGTCATAAAACGGAGGAAGACAAGGTTAAGTGCGAACCTATCTGCCGATATCCTATCAACGACACAGGAATGTGAAAGTCATCATAACAAGCCCATCCGTTTCACAAGGCCATCTATTCTCATGTACACTAAAAAGCCGCTCCAATATCCAAAAGTAGCTCCATTGAAACTAACGAAAAGCTCTCTACCCAGATGATGTAGCAAGGCGGAATAGTACCGACCTCTCGCATTCGACCTATATTAGTCCCCACCGTGTCTGAAAATGCAGATGTGTTAACTCATGGTGAGCTAAGCACAATTGTGTTATGTGCTTCCGACTTGAAAAGATTGCATAAGAAGGAGTCATGACGGCGTGACTTTCAACCCACCGGTCCGCCATTCCACGCGAACTCACAATTTGGCAGACTGCGTGGACTGAGGTGAAATGTCAGTCGGCAACCCTCCTAGCCACGGCGTTTAGCGCACCTTCATAGTATGGGACTCGAATCACACATGTTGCGACAAAAGAGGAAAATGGAGAATAAGCCGAGAAGCGCAATTCTCACCTGCCTGTGAAGTGCCAATTGAGTCCTTGTGTTGAGTGCTGGCGGATGATGTTGTTGGGTGGGGCGAGTGTGGGCGGGAGAGTGTGTGATGATGCGGCGTTGCCGGTGGTGAGAGGGACAGCGTGGACAGTGTAGACGGACGTGGCGAGTGTAGGTTGTTGCCGCAGACACTCTTCCGCCTCTCTCTGTGCGATGGACTCGCAAGTGATCGACCACGCCGATGCGTGAGGTGAATGTACGACCGCAATTAAAGCAGGTATGGACCGAGTCCAAACCGCCGATGTTGGCAATCGTGAGATTACTGCTTGTTGGTGCGTCATGGCTGCGTGCAGGAACCTCCGCAGCAGTCGTTGGATGAGGAGGAGGAGGAGGAGGAGGATAGCAGTGTATGCTCCGGAGCGCAGTTAAGGTTCCTTCCGACGTGAGAGTGTAGACGGATATATCAGTTGGTGTCGTTCGAATGCCGAAGTTGGTTCGAAGCTCTCCAGTGAGACCGACTGGTGCCCGAAACATCCGCTGACATTGTGGGTACGCCGGGGTAAATGAGTTCTGGCGTTACATGATGGGGACAGTGGAGATTTGCACTCGGCTATGACGTCGGTGACGCGGTTGACTTTGTGGATCGGTGCACCTGTTTTCACTGTCCTCTCCAGGTCGGTCGGGCCAGTCTCGGGCGTAGTTATCCAAGTTAACTGGGTTCATCTCCACTTGTTTCAAGAAAGTCAGCATAGCGTCCTTACAGCGCCGGACTTGACCTTCCAGTCAATAAGAACCTATGGTGACATCTATATAGAGGAGTCGTTTAGGTAGCCACTCGTCGTTCATCTGCACTAGGTGGCCGCACCAGAGCAGTTGCAGTTGTCTCAGCATGGCAAGGATGTTGCGGATTCCTGCTTGTTCCAGTACGTCCGTGACCGGAAGCCGGTCCTGCCACTTCAGCTTAAGCGCCCATCGAAGGAAGCTGAGAAGGCGGTGCTCGGGTCTCTACACATGCTTCTGGTGCACTGTCCAAGTCCACACAGATGTCGCCAAAAGGACCATTTACTGCTGAAGTGGAGACCGTAGCAATTCCAGATGGTGCTCTGTAGGCGGCCGAAAGCTTGGCTGGCCTTGAAAATCCGTCAAGCCACTTCACCGTCGATTGTTGTGCTGAAAGGATTGTGTCCAGATAGGTGAAGGGGTCCACAGCTTGCAGTTTGGCGCCATTTACATTGATAGGAGGTGCATTGACGTGTTGGCCGTCCATCCTGCGGGAGACGCATATCCCGAGGCAGACGTTCATGGTTCAGAGCATGAGACTGGAGAGGGCATGCGCGTGGACGAAACCCTGCTTCAACTCGCTGGTCACTGCGAATGCCTCTGAGACGGGTCCATTGATTGTGACGCGCGCCACTATGTTATCGTGAAGCTGACTCCTCGACTGAGTGCACGCTCGGCACAGCTGCATGATGCTCTGTAGTCTTCCAGGATTCCCACTGTTAAAGGCTTTGTCCGATTCACTAAGATAGAGCAGAGATGGGCCCGCATTTCCTGCCATTTCTCATGCAGTTGGCTGACGGCGAAGATCATGTCGGTCGTGCCGCGATGACGGCCGAAACCGCACTGGCTTTTCGACAAAAGTCTCTGCTTCAGACGGCTGTTAAGGCGGTTGAGAAGAAGGCGAGCAAAGATCATTCTGACGATACTGAGCGGCGAGATTCCTCTGTAGTTGACGCAGCGATGGACGATGACTTGACTTTCGTGCCACATCACAGGCATTGCACATCCCAAGGTTGGGTATCACTGGCTGACAACGACTAATAAGCCAGAAGCGGCCCTTTCAATCTCCCTTGTCTTTGTCGGTCATGTGATTCTGCCTATAGTACAAACCACAGTGCGGCAGCTAGTTTGTTCGAGAATGAGGCACGAAGCACAATTAGACGAGTACATTCCGTAAAACGATCTGTAAGCGTCTCACTACCATATATATTTATATATAATGCTAGGGGGCGCTCATCGATCGTTCATACGGAACTCACTCGTTCCGTTGTGCTTTAAAGGCTCTCTCTCTCGAGCCCAACCAGCAGTCGCACAGCGGCGCATGATATGTAGGCAGAATCGTATTACCGACAAAGACAAGGGAGACTGGAATGGCCATTTCTGGCTTATTAGCCGTCGTCAGCCAGCCATACCCAAGCCCGAAGTGTGGAACACCCGAGCCTCGAACTCGCGACCTGTTGGTTTAGAAATCCACGCCTCTACCCACCGGGCCACGAGCCGGTTGCCCTGTCGGTTTTCGA